ATTCAAAATTTTAAGCCTTTTATAATTTTCAGATAGGCACGGCAAGACTACACAAGAACAAATTCACCTTTGCATAAGTTGAATTATTTGTGTAGCAAAATGAACGAGTTGAGAGTGTTACGCAGTAAAACCTTTTCGCTTATTATAATTGTAATTGATCGTTGAACGGATTCATATCACTTCATACCTTCAAATAGATCATGCTGTTATACTAAAAGTTCAAAACTAGTTTTCTATGTACTCGACATCCGTTGCTGATATTGAAAATATTGCAAAATACAAATCATTATAAAGTGAAAAATAATTTAAAATTTTTTCTTGCAGAACAAATAAATGTTATAATTACAAAATACTGGTTTTATTTTGTTAAAAATAAAAGTACTATAAATGAAAAGAAGTACGATGTACTAACAATCCTTTTGAACGCCTTTAGAGAAGAAACATCTAAAAAAATAAGATTCGAACTTGTAACAGAGTACCCTTTAACAACTGCATAGCCAAATGGATAAACATATTACCATATAATACGGTACTGTACATAAATAAGAAAGAAAATTTCAATCTCATTTTTTCTTGCGAATGCATGAGAATTGCATTGTATGGCTTCACCACAATTACTGGAATGATAATACTGCTAGATTTTAATTAATCCTCTAGAATAGTGTTTTTCAACCTGTGGGTCGCAACCCCCAGGGGGGTCGCAAAGCCTTACATGGGGGGTCGCGGGTAAAAGAAAAAGACAAGTGTTTGTAGGTCCTACACTACAATAAATAAAACTACAATTTCATTGAGAAGGCTTTGCGTTTTTATTTTAAAGTACAATTGGTTTTTTGATTGATATTTAGGTCTCAACAGAAAAAAAATTAAATACGTAGTTTTCAAAATCACTGATATAGTTTTAATATGGCCCTGGGAGGTCAGCAGAATTTTTTTAACTTGTAAAGGGGTCACGTATTCAAGAAGGTTGAAAAACACTGCTCTAGAATTTTTATGAGAACCAATCAGTCATATTTTAGTATTATTTCTAGAAAGAATTAGAAAAATCTTCAAGAAATGACATGTATATATGTCATTTATGCATATATATGCATAAATTTTTATGTTCTTTTTAAAATTAAATGCATAAAAAAGTATTAAAATATTCATTAAATGGTAAAAGAAAAGTTTGAACTAAAAAACATATGTACAGTAGAATGTCAATTATCCGAATCAATTGGGGACTGGGGTTGTTCGGAAGATCGATGTTTCGGATAACCGATTACGTACGAAAAAATATATTAATTTATCCCATCTTGACATTTTTATCCCTTGCGTGTCGCTTCGCGTTGAATTTTCGTCGATGTTAAGCCTAACGAAGACTATTGTATCGTTAAAAAATTTTTTTTTTATTTTGTACAAACAAAATAAATATATTGAAAAATATGAAAACAATAAAAAATTATACTTCAGAAGTTAATTTAGTATCAAAAACGTAAAATATTTGAGTAACCCAAGATATAGCCAAAGATTGCAGCGCCACATCACTGGCGAAAATTTAAATTAGCCGACTGGAATTCTTTCGGATGATTGACTTTCGGATACTTGACGCTCTACTGTATTTATGCTCTGATAATTACCTATTATAATATGATGCATAAGGTGCATTATTTGCATGTTGATCAAATGAATATACTTTTAGTTTGTATGTTAGAAAGAATAAAGCTATTAATAGTCAAAAACTAAGTGTAATTTTCAGAAATGTTAAAGTTAAGAAGTGGCATTAGAAGTAGCTATTTTGTTAATTAGATTCTATTATATTTATTTTTGTAATGTAGAAAGTGATAACCTGTTTTCTTTTATATATAATTATTGCTTATTTTATATTCTTACAGATTGCCAACAAAACTCCTAGGAGATCTTTTAAAGAAAGATCAAGAAGCATTATTAAGAACAGTACAACTTATTTTAATAAGATTGCAAAGGGCTATTTTTATTGCACTGTATCAGCATCTTGGAATTACTATAAAACTTACTGTTGTTGTAAGTTAAATAAATGGCCATTGGTATTAATATCTGTCTTTTATTATCTATTTTTCCATATTGGTGACTTGTTTGCCAAGTTTTAAAACAGACTTGTAATGCAAAAAGCCATTACAAGTTTATTGATCTGTTTTATGAAGGAGAAAAAGCATATTAATATTTCATTATTTTAAATCAAAGAAAAAATTAAAAAAAGCTTATAAATTAAAAATGTACACTATAAATTAATCTATAAATTTAATTCTTAATCAAATCTATCATGTCAATGCATCATTGCATTAACTGATAAAAACCTATATACAGATGTAGATTTTTATCAGTTAATATTGTGTCATGTTAAAATATATTATAGAGAAAATTATGTAACAACTATAGTAGATTTTCATTTTTAACTAATAATATATTATATTAGAAATTAATGCATTTTTTTAAAAAAATAGGATTTAATTTTGAAGATAGTTAATGAAGGAGAATATATTGCTAGCCATCTTAGTATACTTGCTGTACTAACTGTAAGTTTTTTTTTCAATAAATTAAAATTTAAGAATTACATTAAATAAATTATATGGGGTTATCCATTAATGATGTCACACTAAAATTCCACACTTTTAAGCCGCTCTCTCTCATATGTCATTCAGTATCACATTACTCCTGTATCACAAATTATGTTACATTGGTTATCACCCCAATAAAGCTTTTGCATTATCTATATATATAAAAATGAATGTATGTCTGTCTGTCTGTCCTTCATGCATTACTACACCATTTATCCGATTGCCATGAAACTTTGGGAAGTTGTTTAATATACTCCTGCGAAGGTTTCTGGCATAGTATGATTGCCATGAAACTTTGGGAAGTTTTTAATACACTCCCGTGAAGGTTTCTGGCATATATAATATTATAAACCTTGTTTATTATCTAGTTCTTATAAACATGATCTGCTGTTATTTACATCACAATAGTATTTTTATAAATAAATAAATGTTTGTTTAAGTAATTCAAAAACATTTTGTTTTTTAAATTATTGAAATTTCAGCAATTTTACATATAAAAAGTAGAATTTGTCTAATAAAAAGTTACATTATGTGGTTATTTTAAGAATATAACTAGTTTGAAGTGTTAAGAGAAACAATCTAATGTCAAAATCTTTATTACAAAATTCAAATTTTGTTTGTTTATTAATAGTTTTATAGTCATTATAAACTAATATAATATTTATTAATTAAATGATTACAAAATGAATATAGTTATATCAGTTTTGATATTATACTTTAAATAAATTTAAATTTATTAAGTATACCAGNAATAAGAAAATAATATGTATTGCTTTATTACTTTTAATGGAAAATTTCTGTTCTACAATATACTGTATTTGATGACAAAAATATCTTCAAAATATGAAAACACAATGCAAGATTACCTATATGAGAGCTCAGTTTTTGGATTAGGTTTTCTCTTCTAATTTTACTGTTTTTTGTTTATCAAAACAATTATTGATTCTTCAGTACTTCATCCATTAATAAATAAATTAATTAGTTTTGGGTTTTTTGAGTTTCTGTAATTCCAAGTTTTTATTTTATTCTTCAACAATTAGATTGCTAAAGAAACAAGATCAATTATCTGCAGCAAAAAAATATGAAGATGCTTCACTTTTGGTATTTGATGAAAGCATTCCAGATTTAGACGTTTCACTTTCTTCAGAAGAAGTTTCACTTCCTCCAGAGATTCTATATATGTTAAATAGTATCAGGTAAAAATTTTATGATGTTTTGTTAATCTTTAATTTTAAAATTAACTAAATAGACTATGAATCAATGATTTTAAATTCTGAAAATTGTGATTTTTGTGAGAGTTTCAAGCTGGCCTAATTGACACCAGGGTGGTGTTCTGTATGGCTTTTAGAGCCTCCTTCCATGAAATGTAAGTGATTATACTCAGAAATTTCTGACACCAAGTAGATTAACTTACTACTCAAGTTTTTGTGAATAGCAACAATGTGGCTAGTTCTTGATACATAGATCTTTGAAATTAGATGATGTATATTGCATCATATAGCACTCAGGCAGAAAGGTAGACGAAGCACACAATTGTAAATCCAATAATAGATAGGAAGGCACACAAACAGTGTTCTATGTTCTTGTTACAATCATTCATTTTATTCTCATGACAATTATGTATTATTCTGATCTGTAAAATTATTTATAAGACTATCCTACCATCGGTATACAATTAAAATATAGGGAAGAGTTGACGCTAAAACGGGAGAAGTTCTTGGAGAATCATCTTGCATAATCACCATCTTCTCCTAGCCATTAGGTCAATTCGAATCCAGTCTGTTGACTTCGTGACATTCCCGTCAAAATGTCCAGTTGTTGCTGATTGCTTTCATCTGCTTCTCCAATAGCACCAAAAAAGAAAGAGCACTTCTCTCAACCTTTAGTCCTTATATACCTGTCTTGTTCCCCACTGGATTTATTTCCCCTCCAGGCCTAATGGGCAATGAAACTTTCTGGAAACTTACAAACAAAGGCTTTGTAACCGACAATGAATATTATACATATAAAAATGATGAGTAATTGTCACAATAAGATGTTACTATCAACTCTCAGAAAGTATAAATTGACACTCTCAAGTCAGAAAGTTAACATATTCTAGCTTCTGATGAGGTCATCATTGGGTTGTTTTCCTTTAACTTGCTCAATTCTCACATTTTGATGTGTGTACAGTATATTAATGATATTAATATTAGTATAAATATTTTGATAACAGGAGTAATTTAGATAATGCACATACTATATATATTGTCTAGATATATAAATTTTCTGCTTTAGTAATTGATGTCATAATAAATTTTTCAGTTTTTTCAAATAGAAAAGTTAGAATTTAACCTTACAGAGTTCACAGTGTGAAAACTATGGAGTTAGGTTGCTATATATCTGTTAGATACAATAATAAAAAAATTGTTTTAAAATATGTATTGGTTGCCAAAAGTTTAAATTTAAAAAGATTTATTGTATTTCTAATCAAAACAATAAAATTCTTTCAAAGCATGAGAAGAAATTAGTTTTTAAATTATTTCCAACTATGTATTAATCTTAATGAATACCTACTTTTTGAGAAATAATTTTAAATATAAAAGAATTTACCCCAGACAAAGGAACTTTCCTGAAAGTCTAATACAAGTTTTGCTGCTGGAACTGTTAGAACAGTTAAGCTAGATGGTTCCATTGGAACAGTTAAGCTAGATAGTTCCATTGGAACAGTTAAGCTAGATAGTTCCATTGGAACAGTTGGACTAGATGTTCCTCAGAATCATTATGTAACATCAAAATTGCTTAATCTGTTGGACTAGACATTCCCTTATCAGCTTTATATAAGATATGAAATGTTTGTCTTTTCCTATTCTTTGTTTTTTGGTTTATCTTCTCCAAATTATTCTTGTTTAACTCGGAATCTGAGGAAAATATAGACTATCGTGAAATCTGGACACCTCTGGACACGTGAAATCTGTTCCTTTCTCTGATTTCATAATAGTGTATATTTTTCTCAGATACATTATTTTTTTCCACAGGTAAAATATATAGGAAATTCTATCTTTTATGACACTTTTCAAAACTATTCCATTCCTTCTATCTTCAGGAGGTAAGTTTTGTTTTATTTTATTTTTGATAATAAAACATTATAATACATATAAATATAAATATAGTTTTTATTGCTTGTACAAGGTCTGTTCAAAAAGTATCGGACCTTTGGTCGGCAAAAATAAATTTATTGACTTTGAGGTACAAAACCCTAATCCCCTTCAAAGTAGTCTCCTTGGTAATGTATACACTTCTCCCAGCGTTCCTGCCATTGCTGGAAACACTGCTGGAACGCATCTTTTGGAATGGTTATCAGCCGGTCTGTCGCATTTCGCATGATGTCTTCTCTCGACTAAATTTGGGTTCCTTTTAGCGGCATTTTCAGCTTGAGAAATAGCCAAAGGTCACACGGAGCCATGTGGAGAGAGTACGGAGCGTGACGAACCACAGGAGTATTGTGTTTGGCGACGAAAGCCCGAATCAGATGCGCAGAATGGGCGGATGCGTTATCAC